GCACCTCATGCAAACCAAGTACAGCCTCTTGACAACTGGGCAGCTTGGGCAACTCGGCATAGCTCGCCACAGGCAGCTCGGCAGAGCCTGCCACAAGCAACTCGGCATAGCTCCCCCCTAGGAAGCTCGCCATAGGCAGCTCGCCACTTGTAGGGTAGCTCAATACAAAAGAGTAGTGCGGCATTAAGGTTGGACTGTTGGAGGGTGTAACAATTACCCAGAAAAATGAGTTAGTTGGAGCTTTTGTGGAACATTTCAAATATATTTTTAGAAGTCCCCTGCAAGAAAGTGTAAGATTAGAAGGGTTGGATTGGAAATGATTATCGGGAGACCACAAAGAATGGTTAAAAAGGAGCTTTGAATTGGAGGAAATAAAGGAAGTGGTTTTTTTAATGGATAGAGCTAAAGCACCATGTCCGGGTATATTTACAATGGATTTTTATCAAGATTGTTGGGAAATTCTAAAAGATGGTATCTTGAGGGTGTTTAATGAGTTTTTTTTTTGGGAGAGGGGTGATAAATCCAAGGTTGAATTCCACTTTCATTGCTTTCTTCCATAAAAAATTGGATGCAAGTCACTCAAGAGAGTTTAGACCCATCAACTTGGTTAACAACCTTTACAAAATAATTGCAAAGGTGCTTTCTTGGAGGATCTGATTTGTGCTTCCTTCCATTGTCTCCCTAAATCAAGGGACATTTGTTAAATATAGGCAGATCATTGATCAGATTTTAATTGCTAATGAGTGTGTCGAGGAGTTGAAAAGAATTGGTAAAAAGGGCAAAGTTTGTAAGCTTGATCTGGAGAAGGCCCATGACTGGTGCAATCATAGTGGAAGTGATAAGAAATTATGGGTTTGGAGATAAATGGTGTTCAATCACAAACACACCACCCCCACACCACAAGATGTGGCGATAAACAAATGAAACCAATACTGGGAGAAAAGCCTTACCTGCTGAAATTCAAGAAATATAAGAGAAGAAAAACAAGAGATCAAGTGGTCATGTCTATAGCCTTAATTGCACTCTTAAATCTTCCTTAAGCTTGCTCTGATACCATGTGAATAGGTTCAGTTATAGGAGAAAATAAAAGAGAAAGACAGATACAAAAGAGAGGAGAGAGTCAAACAGGTCCAGGAATAGAAAAAGAAAAGTCAAATACCTAGCCTGTTGACCTCACTATTTACTTTAGTAAAATTGTGTTTACAATTATGCCCCTGTTTACAATAATTTTAGGACTAGAGTGTCCTTGTAACAAAACTCAAAGACTTATCTGTCCATCTGTCCAAACACTTAAAGAATAGAGACAATTTCAACAGGGTAAATTGGGAACAATTGTTTTGGGGGTAACTAGTGAAGAATTATATGTGAATTTGGAATGTAAGAGAGGGGCTAGGTGTTATCCAGCTTAGCAAAAAAGCAATCTTGTTAAACATAATATTCTTTATCATAATAAAACTATACTGCTACCAACCAAAAGAAGTGGTACAGGGAAAAGAGACTTGTATCCTTAGTATTTCTCAATTTATTTAGTAATTATTATGGGAGCCAATGCTGTAAATTTGATTGAGATATAGTCAGTTTATGGGACTGTTTATTTGACCTTTGCAGAGAAAAAGTTGGAAGAACTTATTTTCATACATGGGTCCTGGATTTCTTGTTTCTATTGCATATATTGATCCTGGGAATTGTAAGCTTTTCATTCTTAATTCTCTCTCTTCTTTTATCATTTATCTGCATTTTCTGTTTCTGAACATATTTTATATTGTTTGTGTTACTTTAGTTGAAACGGATCTTCAATCAGGAGCACAGTACAAGTATGAGGTATGTGTATGTTGAAATATGTATGACATATGTACTTTTAGGCGCAAGAGTATCATGTTATTTTATGTTCACTCTAATAACAGAGTGGGTGCTACCACTTATGGTTCTCTCTTCAACTTTTTCTCTTTTTAACTTCTATCTCCTTTCTAACTCTTTTCTATGGCAGACAACATGCTATCATAGAATATTTTCCATAGATTGAGAGCACAAAAATTATCTTTTTGATCTAATTGTACAAGGCAAAGGTTCTCTCATTTCTTTCTTGACCATGGGACCAAGGATCAGTTCTTTTTTTAGTGTAACAGCTCATTGATGTTGGTGTAGAACTCCCAACTGTTTGGTTATGGGATTATCAGATTGTGAAGCATAAGGTGGTGCTGGATTGGTGGCAGAAATGATAGAACATACTTGGAAGAAATAGAATGAAACTGGGTAAAAGTAGTTTAGATACCTATCATATGATTGGAGGCTCCCGTGTCAATGACCCAACGAAAGCTAAGGTTCTGTTTGGAAAGAGTACGAATATAAATATGTACAGTGCATACATGGTTTAGAAATACCATATACATAGTTTTGCACTCTACCCAAACTGAGCCTAATGGAGAAAAAGTAGGATTAGCTAGTACCTGATTGGGCCAAAGTAGCAGCAGAAGTGGAGCCTTGTGAAGGTGTAACAAGTCTAATGTGTTTCCCAGATGAAGAACCCAAGTGGGTGAAATCTCTTTGCAAAATGAATTTATATTTATAATATATTATTTTATGAAAAAGTTTTACAAAAGGTTTTAATCCCGAGATCCATCTGAGTAGAGCGTGTGATGCTGTATTTAGCAATCAGGGAAGAGGTCCTTCCCTATGAGTAGTTTTGATCTTTTAGGGCTGAGAGTTTAAGAGCTGTCGAAGTTTGACCTGCCCTAGAATTCTGTCTTGTTCGTTGACTGTAAAGTAATGTAAACAGCAAGAAGTAGGAGAGGAAAGAAAAAGAGAGAAAAGAGAGAAAAGAGAGAAAGGCTGGTTCGAATTAGAGAAAAAAGTTATCCCTAGATTCGGCYAGACCTGTTATTATATTATTAACTTATTGGAAAAGACCTAAGTGCCCTTCTTTAAGTAAGAGACACTCGAACTAACATAACAATACACATCAACATTCTCAACAAGTACAAAGACTAAAATGCCCCTTCACTAACACCGCTAACAAGAGCAAAAGACCATTATAAGGCTGAAATCTAATGGGCTTTGTCTTTTGTTAATCCATTATCCTTAGGCTTCATAGGGTGGCTGAAACCAAGGATCACTTAAACTTATGTGTTGGGCCCATATTGAACCCAATTTGATTGACTTAGGGGTTCATTGAGTTTGATAAGTGGATTCGGCCCATGTGATTTCTTGCATTGGCTGAACCCATATGGACTGATATAAGATCTTTGTGGGTCCCATGCCATATATTATTCAAGCCCAATAAGGCTTGCAATAGTTGTGTTATTGAACCATTAAGTAATGGGTCTTAGCTCATTAACTAGTTAGCCTAGTCACATGACGTGTGCAATGGATCGAATATGAGTATGGATCTCCATATTATCTAATGTAATTAGAGGCCTAACCAAATCAGATTTGGATAGTCCTAATTACATTATAATTGGGGTCTATATATAATATACAAGATGTAGAGATCAACCACTACTACTTATTCTTGCACATTTCTCCTCTACTCTCTAGCTACCCAAAAACTTAGTTCGACCTAGCCTTGGGAAGTTTGCTTTCTCTTTGTTTTTGCTGTGTTTTATTCTGCAAAACATCAGAAAATTGAAGTGGTTTATAGTTGCAAATATCCAAGCTAGTTGGAAAGGGGAATCAACTGAAACTAGTTGCAAGATTGACCTCTTTGCATCAACTGCACTATCTTCAGTTGGGAGGGCGATTTGAGCTTGAATTTTGGGTATGAGCTACCACTTTGGGAGCTGTGCTCTATGGTCTCCATATGAGGTACTCTCAATTTATTTTGAAATCAAATCTGTTTCGATCCAATGCTAGATCAATCCTAGGAGAATTCGATTCTCCAAATTCTGAGAATCTGATTCTCAGGTGTGGACTAAAAAATTTTTGAAATTTGGACAATAAACCTTAGCTGGTTCGGCCAATATATTGATGTTAACAGTCCGTTCAACACACACAACTAAAAACACTAGAGGCTGCAAGACTTAATTCATGCCATTAGCACAAACATGGTGGTGAATTTGTTATCATCAAAACACATGGAATTGACAACAGGTCAACATCATGTACTCCCTAGTAAGTGTGATGGTCTCACCATTTGTTGGTACAATCAGTATGGATGTCTGCCCTACTATAGTACTAGCTTACGAAGATGACCTATCACCATGTGTAGTTGTCTGACTAGCATACCGAGATGTCTGCCCTACAATCACGATTAGCTTCACTTCCTCCTCTACCTCCTGGACCACAGCCTCCACGGCCATTCTAGTTACCTCTCACTTCCATAGTTATTACAACCAGAAACAACTTGGGCAGATTTGTTGGAGACCATGGTTTGCTCATCCAAGCTAGCTCTATGTGGTCTGGAGAACACATCCTCAATAATTGGTAATGTGGGGCTGTCCTAAGATCTATGACCTCACTGTCTCATATTCTGGCTTAACCCCAGATAGAGATTTAGCCATATAGAAGTCATTTCTTTGCTTCTACATCACTAAGACATCAAAACCAATGGGTGGATAATATGGATTAAGCTCCTTGGTCCTCACACGATTGAACCATTTCAGAATGATAAGTGATATATCCAAGTGATGTTATTACTGCCTGAACACATCTTCCTTACTTGCTCTCATATTAATTTAGTTGTATCTAGGAAAATTAATCCATTGCTGGTTTTAGAGTCCATAGAATTCCACAACCATGTTTTATTTTGTGAATTTTCCTGCACCCATTCAGCATACTTCGAAGTACTTGATTCAGGTTTATTTTCAGCCAAATACTTCAGTTTTCCTTTCCCAGTCAAAAAGGCTTACTGATTTTATCCAAATGGCATAATTTTCTCTACCCGTGAGGTTAATTGGTTTCATTTGGACAGGTAGCATGTTTTTTGACACTACGGCAGCCCCCTTTAACTCCATTTAATTACTTTATTTTATTTAGGATAGCTCACCAATCCGATTTCCACTTACAGCAGTATCTTTCACCCTTGTAACAAGAAAAACAACCTGATGCAGCAGCATGCACATGGTTAGATTAGTTTGAGACTCTTCGGAAGCCCAAAAAGAAGCTAACAGATTTGAAGAGAAGGAAGAAATGGTCTGAAAAAGACTCTTGGCCTCATTCTCGTCTTGAAGGAAATTTATGGGAGAAGAATTGGTGAAAACTAAAAGTGGGTTCTACTTGGTTTTTGTTATTTTGAAACTTCCAGATATAGTAATTCTCGTAATGGCAATTTTTAGTAATTTCTGGTGTCTTTAAATTAAGTTAGTTTTAGTTGGATTAGGAAGGTGGTGTTAAAGTTGTTTAGGAGTTGGACTCCTTATTTAAGTGTCCTAATGGGTTAGTTATGTAACTGGAATCTGAAAAGGGACATTCGAATTGGTAAGTTGAGTCTATACATAGAGTCATTGGAATTGGAGTTCAAGAAGAGGGATTTGATGAAATAAAGATTGGTTTTGTGAATTCTGGTTGCTATCAGAAGTTTTTTCTCTTTCCCCCCTCTCTCTATTATTTCTTCTTTTAAGTGATCTATTTCAAAACAAAAAAAGTGATCTATCTCTTTTCTGTTTACCTGAACAGAAAGTTATTCCCTTTCTTCTAATTTCTTCCTCATTCTTTGATGACAGCAAGCATTCTACTTGCTTTACCACCCATATTCTTCATCCCTAATCATTCACCACCCTCATTCATCCCCACAAAGCCCACAATCAGATCCTAAGTTGGTAGGACCCCTACCTGTCCTAGATCACAACCCTATTTCAACTCAATAGAACATCAATACTCACTTGAACAGCAGCTGTTTTCACTAAATCACTATCTTGAGTCACCTGATTGCTTGCTATCTTCAATGCACATGATGGTACAGCACTCACCAATCACCTCACTCAAAATTTCATCACTCCTTTAACTTTTCTGGACTGTACAAACACATTTGATCACTCCGTCTCTGTTTTTCCAGTTAGAGGGCTCATTCACTTAACTTTTCACTGATCAGTAGAAAAGCTGAAAAGGTGCCTTTCAGTTCCCATGTGAAGGAAAAACAAAAAAATAGGTGGAAGAGAGCAGAAAGAAGACTAGAAAAGAAGAACAGTGGCTTTGATACCATGTACAAAACATACCTGGTAGCAGATCTGATCAATGGAAAGCAAAAGAGAAGAGGAAACCTAGTGTGAATCCAAGAATAGGAGAAATCCTGGCTTCTGATTAGGTCGAAAAAATATTAGCCCAATCGGTCAGCATATATTTATATTAATTAATTTGTCATTAAGTTGGGTAATGTACAATAATAACCCTGATTAGTAAAAAATAAGCGATATGACTAAACTACCTTCACTTAAGTTATAACATTTAAAGAATATTAGTACCCCTTTCCTTACAAACTCACATAAAGAATAGAAGAAAAATAAAAAGAAAAGGAACAACAAGAAATAGGAAATCAGCTACTTATTAACAATGGTATTTATTTGAAAAAAGTCTGAATATGCTCATGGTTAAGAAGGAGGTTACTCTTCAGAGCTCTCACAACTATACCCCACAACAAAATGAGGTTGCAGAAAGGAGGAATAGACATTTAATGGAAGTAACTTGAAGACTATTATATAGTATGCATGCGCCTCATTGTTTTTGGGCTAAAGGAGTGTTGGTTTCAGTTTATTTCATTAACCGAATTCTATCTTATGCCTTTACTTGCAGTCTTCCCTTTCTCTCCGTTTCCTTCATCAATCTCCCTTTTAATTTTTATTCCTCTTTGTGTTCGGTTGTGTGTTTCATTGTGTAGGGGTGTCAAATTGGACCAGATTTGGTCCAATATGAGTCCATTACAGATTAGGTCTAATCCAATCCGTTGAATACTCTGGACCATTTTGGATCAGTCCAGTCCAATTCTATTCTGGACCGACCAATCTGTTCAAAATGGTTTTAATTTAGATTGATTCTAACCCAAATCTGGTCTATGACACCTGTATTCGTATATTCTATCAATGGACCAGATACTGATTCAATCTAACCCAATCCAATATAAATCCATTACGGATGGATCAGGTGCAATCCAATCCAATATATACTTTGGACTATTAATTCTGAACTGGTCAAATTCAATGCCTTATTGGTCTGTCCAATCCATTCAAATTGATTTTGATTTGGATGGGGTCCAACCCACAACTGGTCTATTGACACCCCTACATTCTCGTATTGGGTTCACACCATTCCAAACTTGATTCTAAAGCTGTTAAGGTGCTTTCTTTTACGCTTGGTATATGCTTTGACTCATTCTTTTATGGTAACAAAATGACTAATAGTTATTCATCACAAAAAGGGTGTCACTAAACTTAACATACTGGGTTCTTAGTTTTTACAATCATGTATTGTGAATATTAGGAAATCTCTTCACCTGTAATTTTCCCTAGAATAATCCTTTATTTTGTTGGACAGTTACTCTGGATCATCCTAGTGGCATCATGTGCTGCACTCATCATTCAATCCCTTGCAGCTAACCTAGGAGTTGTCACAGGTGTCAAATATCTTTCTGTTGATATTTTATGCAATGCCCCATTATTAATGAATCAGTGTTAGCAGTCTTATTGTCTCTAATCTGCATGTATGTTGAATCTGTACTTCATGCAGGAAAACATTTAGCGGAGCACTGTAGAGCTGAATACCCAAAGGTTCCAAACTTCATCCTATGGCTGCTTGCTGAAATTGCCATAGTTGCATGTGACATTCCTGAAGGTATTACTTCTTCCTCAGATGATTGAATTGAAAATCATTAATCTCATGTGTTGTTTCTGGTGTTATTTTTCTGAAAATAAAACTGGGGCATGGAAATAAATTTAAAGAAAAACCCCACGGGTCCATCTTCACTATAATGCTATGGCCATCAGATGGATGAGCTTCTTTTACCCTCCTCTTAGGCTGCATTTGGTAAGAGTGCAAATGCAAATATGTTCGGTCCATGAAAATGCAATCTTGGTTTGGTTTTGCATTGATAAATTTTGTATTGTGTTTGGCTGTGATGGGTTAAAACATGAATTTCATGACTAGAATCTACCTTTTTGACTGACTAACTTTGAGTGTGAAAGTTTGCTTCCATTTTTTGGAAGCAAAACAAATTTACTTTCCTTTTCAGTACAAAAAAGTATTTTATGTATTCTTACCAAATGCTTGTATAATTGAATTGGAATGCAAATTCACTTCGGTTCAGCATTTACACACTTTTCAAATGCAGCCTACTAAAATATTTGTTCATGGTAAGACAGGATTATCATGTATACCAGGTTTTGTGACTGAGGTATAAATATTTACTAAATGATGCAGGATAACCCAAAAATAGAATGACCCTACAAATCTTGTACAAACTTGAAAATATTTCATAGAATAAGAAAGGAGAAAAAGAAGAGATGGATGATATGAGAAGATGGGGGAGTATGGATAAAGTCTTACTGCTCAAGGTCTTTAAAACCGAACGGGACAGGGACCCATTCTGGGGTCCGGTTCCTGGGTCGAATGGTCCGACTGTTCGAACCGAACGGATGACCCATTCTAACAAAAAATAAAAATAATAAAAAAATAAAAAAAAGTAAAAATTGGCCAAAAACTGTTGTCTGGGTCAACGGGTCGATGGTTCGACCGCCTGGGTCAGTGGTTCGCTGACAAAATCAACTGTTTTTGGCCAAAAAGCAGTTCTGGGCTGAAATGGAACCGGTCAGGTGACCAGTTCCCGGTTCTTGGGTCCAACCGTCTGGTCCGGTCTGGTTTTGGAAACATTGTTACTGCTCTAATCCAAGCCATCATTTACCAGCTGATGCAAGATAACCCCATAAAGAACGGTGTACTACACTGTGCACACCTGAAGATGTTTAATGTGTTTTTGACATGGAACTATGATAAGAAAAAAGGAGAGATGTAAAGGACAGATAAGATCTGGGGATATGGAAAATGTCTTGCTATCTTAATTCCAATTCCTTTGGGTGAGTCTCACCAAGAAAGTAAATATTGTGCCTCACTACCCTAAGACAAGTCCTTTCTCATGGAAAAACAAAGTTGTGGATAAAAGTTTAAGTTCATTTATTTGAATGAAAACAAGATAGGTTGTGCCTCTTATAGGGTGTGACTAGGGTTCTTAACTTGCACAACAAGCAACTGAACGAAGAAAAATCTTTAAAAGAGAAAAAAACATGAAATATCTTTTTGATGTAGGGCTCTCCCTGCTTTCTAAAACTGGGAATGCTGGGGGCTCATTTTTGGGTTAGACTTGGGGTTACCTTTTGGGTGAGCAAATAAAGGCCTGAACCTACATGCAGTTGGGTGCAGCCCCATCCATCTTATCTAGATAGCTTTCAAAGCTTAACCCAGGCCTATCTAAACTATGAAAATAAAGCTGATTACAGCCGCACAAAGCTTTTTATGGCAATATGCCAATATCAACAAGCTACATATGTGTATAGAAATCAATAGAAACAATAATAAGTAGAAGAAATTAGCTAGAAGGGAGAAAAAAGAGAGAGCAGATTGACAGGAGAAAGAATAATGGGTCATGCTGGTTTGTTGCCCCTATTTGTTTTATCTCAAACTTTACAAGCAAAGACTATACTGCATGTGGTCACTTATCTCTCAATACATCATCACTTCTAATGATGCACAGAACAAATATGTTCTATTTATTTTTACAGCAGAAATCATCAAAACCAAGTATAAAATTGAACTGGAAAAGATGGAAATAAAGCAAGCAAGCAAGCTGCTGCTGGATTTCTGGGTAAAATATATTCAGATCTAATCTTATTATATGCTGGGTGGATGCCTTATAAAGTAGGACAACAACAACTTAAAATGAAAGTACAATAGTATCTTAATAGCTTAAAATAAAAGTACAAGTGTACCCCTGTCAAAAAATCACTAAAATAACCTATTTTATTGCTAGTAAACCTTGATAACAAATTCAGAGTCCTTCTAATAACAACAAATCAACAAAAATGTTATAATTAACTGAGAAACAACTAGAAATCATCAAAGTTAACAGAAAAAACAATTAGATAGTTAAATCAGAAGCATTGCTGCTTCCCTTTCTTCATCTCTTCATAGTTCAGACTTGTCACATGCCTCTTCATACTTGAACACTGCAGCGTCTCCATTAGTCCCCTCGATTCGAAGAGGCTTATCCTTGAATTTTATACAGCTGGCATAGGCTGAAAACCCTGGATATATTCATTGGAGTATGTAGGCCCACCACATAGGCGAAATATATTGAAGTTACTATTTGTGAGAGAAAAGGTGTTTGGTGGAGTTATTCTACCAACTTTGTGAAGTTTGAAAGTCAGTGGGCAAACTTGTTTACCAAAAGTTTTGAGTCTGGTTAGAGAGAATCATATCTTCAATAAGTAATAACTGATAATAAACTAGAATCTATAATAAGCTGGGGCTATTTGATATTTGTGCTCCAGCTTGTGGATGAACACTGATAGGCTATTAGTGGGTGAGGTGAGGGGTACGTGGGTCTTTATATTCTTATCAGTGATTTAAAAGGCATGCCTAGGCGCACAGGCAAGGCACATTTTAGGGTAGGCGCCTCGCCCAGGTCCTAGACACAGCAGTTTCAAAAGGCGCATGCTTGGTCCGCCTAGGTGTGTGCCTGATGCGCCTAGCGCCTTGGCCCAAGCATGCGCCTTTTGAAAATTGTATGTGTTTTTTTTTTTGCTTTTTTTGATCCTAACGGTTGGGCTGAGGGCAGACCTGGACCCCCGACCATGCCTCTCAAGGCAAGCCCAAACAAGTCCATGTTTGAGTCTTAAATTCTTAATTCTCACACAAAAAATAACGATTTTATAATTTTAATTGCCTTTTAAGAAAATATTTTATTAAGATGAATGAATGAACAACATCAGCAAATCGCTCACTCACTGAAGCTCCGAGAACCCCTTATTTGCTAATGTTGTTCATTCATTCATCTTAATAAAATATCTTCTTAAAAGGCAATTAAAATTAGCAATCATTACTTTTTGTGTGAGAATTAAGAATTTAAGACCCAAACATGGACTTGTTTGGGATTTGCCTCGAGGGGCATGGCACAAAGGTGACTCGCAGAATCAGGAATGTAATATTGTTTTACATCACATTAGTTACTTGAAGTAATGCAATTGAGAAATAAAGGAGATTGTGGGCTTTACATGCTAGAAAATGTTTTATATGTTTGATTTAATTTTAAATTTTCATTTGAATATGCTTTATATGTTATGTTTATGTATTTTTTGAATTTTTTGACATTGTTTTTTTATTTTTAAGCAAATTTTTGGTATTTTTACGCCTTGCTTCAAAAAGGCGCATGCCTCACCTTGCACCTCTTCCTTCGGGTGCAAATTGGCCCTTGCACCTTTTTTGTACCTTGTGCTTTTAAAACGCTGATTCTTATTTTACTTTATTTGCATTACTTAAATTTTGTTCCACTTCATAAGAGTTAAACTGACATTTTCTTCTACTCAAAGAGTCTATATTGTTTCCTGACCTGCAAGAGTAGAAGGGCTGGAAGAGAAGAGAAAACAGTAGAGAAGAGAGAATGAGTGAGTGGCAAAAGTGTTCTCAGCCAGCCCTAAAGAATAATACATGAATGGACAAGTATACTCTTGATTAGTGAAGGGACACTTAAATAAAAAAGCAACCAATCTGGGCCCGATAACTTTATGCCCAACTTAACAATAATATAAATAACATAAACATAAGAATTGGCCCACACACTTAATCATTCATTACAACACTCCTTAAGTTGAGCATGGATGTCCATCATGCCTAGCTTGCCTAGAAGACCATAGAACCTTACTGAAGAGGGGCTTTTGGATAGAGCCATGGTTCGTAATTTTGATTTCAATACTAATGGACATTTCATCATGTAGAGATGGAGATATCTTGGAGATAATTCGGTAATTTCATTAAGATATTTGGAAAATCTAAAAAATTAGTAAAGTTTTCCAGAAACATGGAATTAGTTAATAAACCTTCGAGGAATCATTAGAAGAAATATAATTGCACACTCAAGGCTCAAAAAACCATAGCAAAGAACCTTACTGAAGGGGGGCTTTTGGATAGAGCCATGGTTTGTAATTTTGATTTCAATACTAATGGACATTTCATCATGTAGAGATGAAGATATCTTGGAGATAATTCGGTAATTTCGCTAAGATATTTGGAAAATCCAAAAAATTAGTTAAGTTTTCTAGAAACATGGAATTAGTTAATAAACCTTCAAGGAATCTTTAGAAGAAATATAATTGCACGCTCAAGGCTCAAATAGGAGAAAATTAAGAGACTTGGGTGGTATTCGGTAGTGCCGAACCAACCACCGAATGTTGAAAAACTTGCTTTTTCATAACTCAGTGGTCATTTGGTTGTACCTTCGAATGCTACCACCAAACACTGAATGTAACTCTGAATTCTTCAGATAGTGAGCCACCTCTGAGCGTGTTCAAAGGTAGCACACGAAATACTTTTTATTGTATTGTCCCTTTCAAAGTTCAAGAAATTCAAAATTACCCCTGTGTACTCTCAACCCAACCATAAAAGCCTTTTTGGCATTTTACCATTGTTCTTCCATTACCGAATGTAATGGCGATTAGCGAACGTTGTCAGTGTTCAAGCTTGAAAAAACTAGAGGTGGTTTATTTCTCTATTTTATAAACCTCTTATATTTTTTACATTTTTATTATATTTTTATTTATTTTTATTGTTTTACCTTTTTATAGTTT